TATATACCTGTCAAAATACAAAGCTCTCATCATAAATTATTTGGAAAAGAAGGAATGAATTAAAATAACAGCACTAAAGCGATTCAACTCACTTTGGCATGATCGGTGCGACATATCTTGTTCAAGTGATATATTTGCATCATCGTTAAAACGTTGATAATTGCCCGAATATTCAGTGGTTTTAGGGGAAGACATTTGAGAATGGCGTGTCACATGTCACATGCATAAAGTGAGCAATACATTTGTGTTAACAAACACTTATTTATGCTAGCTTAATTCTATGTAGTTATGTCACCATTCAGAAGCTGAGCACTGACTGGATTAGTCTTAAAACTATGTATGAAAATATGTACATATTTTTGTAAGATATTTTACATATTACAGTATCATAATACAATGATGTTATTCGATCTTCTCGTATTTGACGTTCCAGTTTGTGACGCGCATGCGCATTTGTAGAAAGCAGCAAGTGTTTATATAATATAACAGAATTTAGTTTACTTCTTATTTAAAACTTTCTGTATTAATTTTTACATACGTAATGGAAAATGCAGTACATAGACGGATGAATATAAAATTTTGTATATAACTTTTAAACGGTATTTAACAATAAAATTAATTAAGGTTTAGAAAAATTAAAAATACAAATTTTTTAAATAAATACAAACCACTGTAATAAAGGAAATGAAAACACTAATTGATGTTTCAGTATTTATTATGTATTTGTACCCAAATCACAAATAATTAGAATTTTAGTCTGTGTGGATATTGGCTGCTCCTCAAACCAAACATTGCTGATAGGTAAGTAAATAACATTTTCTTCTCTTTGTTTCTCTTGATAGCAGAAATTACAAATTTATCAACAACCTTTTGATCAGCTTTTCTCTGATCACTTGGTTTGTATTCATCCTTCTTTGTAGTGAAAATATCACCTTCTTCCTTCTTTGCACGTTTCTCTCGCTTTCTCTTAAAATAATCATCATTAATGTGATCTGGAATCTTCAAACCAGAAATATTAACACACGTAGAAGTTGCGATCACGTAATTTTGACTAACTCTTCGAAGTGGGCAAGCATTAATCAAGAAAGGACCTATTTCAAAAAATACTTCATTAAAATTTTATGCTCATATTTTTATAGGAAATCATATAATGAATTTACATAGAAGACCTACCTGTAACTAAGAGTAAACCACTCTTTAGTTGTTTTAAGAAAACAACACGTTTTCCTTTATGAGCACCAGCAAGCAAGATACAAATTGTTCCTGGTTTCAAAGAAGGCCTCAGATAACGACGATGTTCACGGAAACATTTCTTAGCATGGTGTACAGTGACTGGATCTGCAGTAGGATAATTTGCTCGTCTCTTCTTTAATAAAACAATACGTTTTTCTCCATTTTTGTCACCACTGATTTTTTTTTCAATGGTAACTGGTTTCTTAGGTTTAACCTGTTATTAAATATTTATATAAATATACACACAACATGAAAATATGAAGACTAGTAAATGAAATATGTATTATATGACATACAGTTTTTGGAGTCTTTTTATCAAGGAATTTATAAATGGCCTTTTTATGGAACATGCGTGTACGGCTAAATCTATAAACACCATTTCCTAAGTCATAATTCCTTGGCCTAAGTCGACCTTTTTTTCCACTTTTTTTATCTGAAGAAATAGTTTTCTTCTCTGGCGATATTGCCTTTGTTTCTTTTGCTTCCTT